CACATGGAGAAACCTGTACCCCACGACGCAGAAATACACATATTTTACGCGCTCAGAATGTGCATGCACGGCACATTTAAACCACCCATAGGAAAACATTATTCAATGCTTCCCTATGGACGTCAGCGTGTCCTCAATGCGATTTTTGCATTAAGAATCGTGGAAGCGGCCTCTAATGTCTGTCAGGGAGACAGCCACTAGAGGCTGGATTAACCCTCAATGTAAACATAGTAGTTTCTCTACAGCTGCAGGGTTAAAACTAGAGGGACCTGGCACCCAGACCACTTAATTGAGCTGAAGTGGTCTGGGTGCCTATAGTGGTCCTTTAAGTGTAACTTGTATACTGGACAATTTACTTTGGATGATCAATTCTGATATTTATCTCATGAATCTGTGCCACACAAAGTGTTTCTTACCTGTTATTACTGTTTCTGCTTTTTTTCCTGCTAGATTAATGTGTACTCCTCATGATTTCAGCTTATACAATATACAAAGTGAAATTAAGCCAATATCAATTTACAGTGTACTGTTTCTGAAATGGAGTACAGTTTTCCAGTAACTTCTCTGGTTTCTCCAGAAAATGGTCTCTTTCCTTAAATCCTAGAGCAGAACGTGACATTTACAGTTCACTAAACCAACGCACAAGTCAATTTACTAGACTCCAGAGCTATATTTTTCTAGTCGAAGGGCAAATTTCTGCCAAAATGCTCTTTTGCCATCTAGTATGTTTCTGCCTCTAAACCCCACCCTCCTCCCCCAAAAAAGCTACTGACTGAAAGAAAATTGCTCCATAGGAAGCCATAAAACCTGTGATGCCTTTTGGTATTTACTGAATGATGTTGCGATTTTCCAGGCTTAAAACGGCCAGTTTTTATTGGCAGAAATCCCATACCTTGCAGTACAATGTTGTATTCTAACTGGACATGCATTCCATAATGAAACATAACCATTTTAGTGACACAGAGACACTATGTTGAAAGAAAAAAATACATAAGATAAATAAACATGTCTGGGGTCTGTGAGATTGATCAATTCATTTGCACAGCACAGGATTTTAAAATAGGCATCTAAGGATCTTCCAAACCATGCAGAGCCACACTATATTGGACCAAAGAGTGAGCTCAACACAGCCAGTGAGGAGGTCATAGTTCTCTCTAAGTAGTAAGGTGGCCCTAAAAATTGGGAGCCCTGGGAGCTTTCAGTCTTCACCTCCTGTGGGTGCAGACTTTGTCTACTGCTCTCACAAGTATATCAAAGCGTTGCCATAGGTTACCACAGTAATGCAATGATTCTTACCGCAGTGCGGTTGGAGAAAGCCATGCACATGTTCTACACCTGCCAGAGGTTTTAAAAATATTTCAGAATCCATCATGGTAAATCACTAAAGAATTTTATCAAATCCAAAATAATTTTCCATATCAGCAATTTTAGCCTCAGTTTTGTAATTTACGTTGCTTTATTTAATAAAATTATGTGCTTAGTGAATAACCCTACCAATGTTAAAATTCCTTACACATGGATGGAAAATAGCTGCAGACTTATCATATATAGTCTCCTCCTTTACTGTGTTGATTCCCCTTATGTATTTAAATGTTTCTATCATATCCCCCCCGTCTTTCCTCCAAGCTATACATGTTAAGTTCCTTTAATCTTTCCTTGTAAGTTTTATCCTGCAATCCATGAACCAGTTTAGTAGCCCTTCTCTGAACTCTCTCTAAAGTATCAATATCCTTCTAGAGATACGGTCTCCAGTACTGCGTACAATACTCCAAGTGTGGTCTCACCAGTGTTCTGTACAATGGCATTAGCACTTCACTCTTTCTATTGCTAATACCTCTCCCTATACAACCAAGCATTCTGCTAGCATTTCCTGCTACTCTATTACATTGTCTGCCTACCTTTAGGTCATCAGAAATAATCACCCCTAAATCCCTTTCCTCAGATGTTGAGGGTAGGACTCTATCAAATATGCTGTAGTTTGCCCTTGGGTTTTTACATCCAAGATGCATTATCTTGTGTAGCGGATGGCACTGGGCTGTCCTGAGAATTTCATGTATTTGAATGCATTCGTGTGAAAACAGCAAAGTTCTATGTATTTAATGTATTGTATTCGTCTGAATGTTAGGTAGTTTCATTCCCTTAGTTTGTTCGAATGAAACTACCGAACAGTCAGACCTCCCCTGTGTGAAGTGTGTCTTCAATTACCCGTTGCAACATTGTTGCGAACAGGTAATTGACAAGCTAAGTAGCCTTCCTTTGTTCTCGGGGGTGGCCGCCATTCGAAAAACGAACACGTGGCGGCGGCCATTTTAAAACTCCCGAACAGCGGTGTTTTGCCATCGAGTGTCTGGAACTCAAATCGGACACTCGACTAGGCGAACACCGCTGAAACCTCCACAAGCCCGGTCCGTTCGGTTCCCAACTACTGAACGGCCCCTCGTTCGGTAGATAGAAAGAACCGAACGAGGGGATTCAGGCGAACCCTCCCTAGCCTCTGTAGCTAGAGGCTTTCGTGCCGTTTATTCCCTGACTCCAGGACCGACCGCAGGGCCTATTCACATGGAACCTCATTCGGCTGTTCTATCCAGTGCGGTCGGTCATTTTATTCCCTCCAATAATTTCCCGAACCCCTGGTCTGATCCGGGTGATTTTTGGATATGTTGTTCATCCAGATCAGGGCTACCAGGGGATGTATGATTTAAAGTGGTACCCCTAAGTTTAGGGGTACATCCAGAAATGGGGGGAATTGGTGTGCTGGATAAGGGGATTATGATGCAGGCTGAGGGGAGGAGATGTGTGGGAGGTTACCAGAGCAGGATTGGCTACTTTACTAATGAATGAAAATCCCTCCCTTGCATGGGAGCAGGTTTTAAAAGGCCACTGTCTGAATAAATCTTTAGTTCTGCTCCTGAAACTGTGTGTCGTCCAGTTATTGGGATTGCTGTTGGGATACTGCTGTGTTATTTTGCCTGCTGGATACTTTACCCTATGGATTTATAATTGCTTGTTCCTGAACCTCCCTGGGATCCAACGTGGAGATAGGCTGTGTAATACCAGCTCTCCACTAAATCTTTCACTTATCCACATTAAATGTCAGTTGCCACGATTCTGACCATTTTTCTAGTTTACCTAAATCATTTGCCATTTGGCTAATCCCTCCTGGAACATCAACCCTGTTACATATCTTAGTATCAACAGCAAAAAGACATACCTTACCATCAAGACCTTCTGCAATATCACTAATAAAAATATTAAAGAGAATGGGTCCAAGTACAGATCCCACTGGTGACAAGCCCATGCTTTAAATATCCTCCATTAACTACAATCCTCTGTTGCCTGTTACTCAGCCACTGCCTTACCCATTCAACAATATTGGAATCCAAACTTAAAGATTGCAGTTTATTGATAAGCCTTCTATGTGCAACATTGTCTAAAGCCTTATTGAAATCTAGGTAAGTAATGTCTACTGCAACACCCTGATCTATTATTTTAGTTACCCAATCAAAAAAATCATTAAGATTAGTTTGGCATGATCTCCCTGAAGTAAACCCATGTTGTCTCTGATCTTGAAATCCATGTGTTTTTAGATGTTCAACAATCCTATCCTTTAACATGGTTTCCATTACTTTCCCCACTACTGAAGTAAGGCTTACTTGCCTTTAGTTGCCTGACTCCTCCCTACTACCTTTCTTGTGAGTGGGCACAACATTCGCTAACTTCCAAAAAAATCTGTTAATGGTTTTGCTAGTACCACTGAGCTCTTTTAATAACTTTGGGTGTATTCCATCAGGTCCTATTGACTTATTTGTCTTTACTTCGGACAGTTGAAATAGAACCTCTTCATCTGTAAACTCACATGTAACAAATGACTAATTTGTCCTTTTTCCTAACTAAGGCACATTTCCTTCATTTTCATCTGTAAATACTGAACAAAAATATTAATTGAGGCAGTCAGCTAGAACTTTATCCTCTTCTACATACCTTCCTTCTTTTGTTTTTAATCTAACTAATCTTTGTTTTACTTTTCTTTTCTCATAAAAAATGTTTTGTTGGGGGGCGTGCCCGGAAGCCGAGGTGAACGGAGGCATGGAATGAGAGCTCCCGGTCCGAATCAGCCTAAAGCCAGAATATACAGCAGAAAAACTCCCAAATCACACGGTAATTTACCTGTCTGCACACCTCTTCCATCAACAATGGCTCCGGCGAAACAAACAAAAATGACGGATCCTATCCGCTCCTCTACAAAAGACAAACGGGGTTGTCGCAAGATGGCGGCAGGGGGCCGGAGGGCCTCGCAGACCTCAGACTCACAACAAGACCACGAGGAAGCTCAATACACAGATGCTCTGGTCTCAGAGAAAAAGCTATATGCAATGTTACAAGACTTCAGAATCACTTTGCAATCTGATCTAAAACAAGCAACCAGTGACTTCAAGAAAGAAATTAAAGATCTTGGCGAGAGAACAAATAACCTAGAGGCCCGCACAGACGATATGTGCGCGGCACATGACACCCTGGCGGACACTGTGCAGTCCCTGATGGAGTAACATCAATTCCTGAAGAGGAAATTCGCAGATTTGGAAGACCGCTCGAGGCGGAACAATGTCCGCTTCCGCGGAATCCCAGAAAGCGTGACAAGAGACCAGCTACCAAAATACCCGATGTCACTTTGTAAAACCCTGGTGGCCGATCTACCAGAGGCGGAATGGCTGATGGATCGGGCCCACCAGCTGCCGAAGCCGCAAAGACTCAGCGCGGCGACACCACGTGATGTGGTAGCGCGCTTCCATTTCTACAGGTCTAAAGAATCACTGCTGGTAGCAGCGAGGAGCCGTCCCAAGCTACCGGAACCCTATTCTGGCATCCAACTGTATGCGGACTTGTCGGCAATTACTATGGGCAGAAGGAGGGACTTTATCACCATCACGAAAACCCTCAGGAACAACGAAATACAATACCGCTGGGGCTACCCAACTAAACTACTCATCTGGAGGAATGGTAGAACCCACATCGCTAACGAACCGGAGGTGGGAATGAGGCTATTGAAAGAATGGGGACTATTCCCTCTGAGATCACCGACTGTCCCTTCCACCGAATCCCCGAAGCGCATGCACACCGAGTGGCAACTGGCGGGCTCGCCCAGCAAGGCCTGAGGAACTCGAAAGACCCGGTGCTCGGACTAAACCCTCGGCCTGAAAATCTTCAACTTTCCCACCCTGTATATAACTGTTACCACAAATGGCGGTGTCTCTGCTCAGTCCACCAGGTCGTGAGTATGAGAAACACGAACTGTGCACCATGCCAAATGTTTTTACCCCTGCATATGTGGACTATGGTGGGGTACCCTGCACATATTTCACAGCATCAATGTATTGCGTATAGGATATAGAATCTAATGTTATGCATGAAATGTCACACGCAGTACACATAGCAACTAAACGCAGCACAAAGGGTGCCGAGGCGAGGCCGGTAGCAATTATACACGACAATATAAATACTGCTTCTGTAAGGCTAGAATTGAAATCAACATGACACACAAGTCTACAGGTCATAACCTCACCTGTAGCAAAGCAGGGAGAAAAAAAAAAAAAACATATTGAGGAGAGATGTTAAAAGCTCACTAAATAGGCTGTATTCACCCGGCTGGTAAAAACCAGGCACGACCCAGGCTGAGAAGGTGGCGGGAATGAACTTCCCATTCACATCTCATCCAAGTAGAGTGCTTCATGCTGTTTGGGCGCTTTGTACATGCTTTAGTTATCCCCTCCCGATCTCCTACCCCTGGTTTTCCATTGGTTTCCCCAGTTCTCCTCTCCCTGGATCAGACCACTCAATTTCGCAGCACCACTTCAGTCCCGAACCCAGGTTGCTTCACAGCGCAGTTATAATATGGAGCAATGACTGACACATTAACCATACTCACATTGAATGTTAAAGGCCTGAACAGCCCCCATAAGAGGAGACTATTAGGCCAGGAAATGGCTAAGTCCAAGGCAGCAATGGTATGTCTGCAGGAGACTCACCTGAGTGTTAGGAACCCCCCGAAATTCAGTATTAAACACTACCCCCAAGGCTACCACGCTCTGTCCAAAACTAAAACCAAAGGGGTTTTCATCTACTTCCACAACGATTGGGTATTCACACCATCCAAACAGTACGCTAGAAAGGATGGTAGACTTCTGATACTGGTGGGCTCACTAAACGGGCTAGCAGTGACACTAGCATCGTTATACGCTCCCAATGACGCGCAAAACTCATTCCTCACAATGGCCTTTCGGAAAATTGAAAAATTCAAGGTAGGACATACCATTATATGTGGGGACATTAACTGTGCCCCAGATCCCCCCATTGATATCAAGAGAGAATTGGATAAACCACCAAAGGCCCACTCACTCTCACTAGGTTCCCATCTCAGAAAGCTTATGCACCAACACGACCTCTACGACGTATGGCGGAGCCTTTACCCTAATGGGAGAGACTTCTCTGTCGGACCGATGTCAAAACCTTACCCTTTGCAATCCGGGTACAGATCGGGCCAATAACGTGGTCCGATCATGCGCCTCAAAAAGTGGCCCTCAGAATTCCATAACCCAGCTAGAGGATGGGGCACCTGGCATTTCAATGACAGCCTATTAGATGATCCCAAGTCACTCCGAGAGATAAAGACCAACGTGGAAGAATACTTCTATAATCACACAGATTGTCAAACATCTACTTCCACCCAGTGGTTGGCCCATAAAGTAGTCATGACGGGTTTGCTCATCCAATTAGGGGCTAGGGTAAAGAGATCACGTCAATCTGAGATGGGCAAACTGGCACAGGAGCTGGCCAAGGTGGAAACCAATCATAAACAGAAACCCACGATAACCACACACAAACAAATGATGTCCATCCGAATGGCCTTACACAACCTACAACTAATAACAACAGAAAGACACCTCAGATCTCTAAAACAAGTTTATTATGTGACAGGCAACAAGGCCGGAAAACTCCTAGCTAGGAAAGCAAACAGACTAAATTACAATCAAAAATCCCCTACATAACCTCTAAGAGTGGGGACAAGCTATACAATCCCCAAGACATAGTGAACAAATTGGTGAATTATTACGCATCACTATACCAATTAGAGACAGACCCCAACACCCACCAGCCAAATGAGGAGGAAATAAGCTCCTTCCTAGATAAGACGCCTCTACCATGCCTGACACAGGCACAATGCGCCTTCCTTGAAAGTCCCTTCACGGAAGAGGAAGTCGCAGCAGCCATAACATCTCTCCCCAAACAGAAGGCCCCTGGCCCAGACGGGCTCTCCAACTGCTACTATGTCAAATTAGCAAACCAATTAACGGCGCCCCTCACTAAACTATTTAATAACATCAAAGAATGCAGATCCATGCCCAAAGAAATGCTGGAGGCGCATCTAGTGACATTGCCAAAACCTAACAAAACCCCCACCCAATGCGCAAACCTACGCCCAATCTCCTTATTAAACGTAGACACCAAACTCTACACCAAACTCATAGCGTCCAGACTCAAGCCCATCATCCCAGACCTCGTTTCAGAAGAACAGGCAGGTTTCGTGCAGGGCAGGCAGGTAGGGGATAACACCAGGCAATTTGATAGAATGGGCCAACAAATCACATCAAGCTGGTCTACTACTTGCATTAGACGCCGAAAAGGCCTTTGATCGGCTACACTGGAGGTACATGGCTCGCACTCTAACGCAGTTGGGGTTCCCACCTACTTTTAGATCAAGCATACTGGCACTATACCAACACCCATCCGCTAAAGTCTTTAGCACTGGGTTCATCTCCCGCCAATTCGACATTCGCAATGGCACCCGGCAGGGATGTCCTCTTTCCCCCTTAATCTTCATTCTATGCTTAGAACCCTTAATCAGAAGCATAAAACAGGATGCATCCATACAAGGTCTAATTACACCGGGAGGAACTAAAAAACTAGCCATTTTTGCTGATGACATTCTACTGTTCATCACGAACCCTGGGTCCTCCATGCCCCCCCTCCTTGAAACGTTGACGAGGTATGGGAAAATCTCATATTATAAGAACAACCTAGCCAAAACACAGGCACTACCTATAAACCTGCCACGTACCACTCTGGATGCATTAAAAAGCAGCCATACATTCGACTGGCGCACGTCCTCCCTTAGGAGTGAAACTATTTAAATCCACTCAAAAAATAACAAAAGAAAACCATTACCCAATCCTCAACAGAATTAAAAAAAACACTCAGGAACTGGGAGAATCTGGAGGTATCATGGTTAGGCCGAATTAACCTCATAAAGATGATGGCCTTACCACATATACTTTACCTCTTCAGAACCCTTCCCATAGCTCTCCCAAACTCATTGCTTAAACAATTTCAAAGCGCCATCAACGCTCACATCTGGAAAAAAAAGCCGCCCAGGGTAGCTAAGGGCTACATGGGGCTCACCTACACAAAAGGGGGACTGGGTCTGCCGGACATAAAAGCTTATTATAGGGCATCCCTTCTGGCACAAGGGATAAGACTATTACGCATCCACAAACTCTCCCACTGTCCACTCTGGCTCCCACTCGAAAGCCCATGCTTAGGTACACAAAATCTGAGCCATCACTTATGGACAAGTTCCATTCCCCGAACCCAGACTAAAAAGGCGCTTCACTGCTCAGGGACCCTCCTACACGCTTGGAAAGAGTGGGGTCCATGGGTGGTGGACCCGACACAGCTCCTCAAAGAAGCCCCGATAGAAGCATTAGCAGCCTGTTCCCCAGAATTGCGGCTAGGGAGATGGCAGGCGAAGGGCGCAAGAAAGGTCCGCGACCTAGTAAAAGAGGAACAGGCGAAACCATTTCCCGAGCTTCAAAGAAAACTAAACCTGGAACCTAGGGACCTCTACCTTTACTTGAGGGTTAAAAGTGTAATACAGAACTGTTTCACGAATATCACAGGCAAATCCTATGCCAAGGCCATCACACCCCACCAGATACTCTTAAGCAAATCAGCCAAACCACTAGCTCTATGCTACCACGAACTCCTCACAAACGCAAACCCAGATAAACTGAAATATATGATACAATGGGAAAGAGACATGGGTAACCAGTTCTCCTTAACAGAATGGCATACAGCATTAGCACAAACCAAACAAGCCTCACACAGGCTCTCGCTGTGGGAGGCTTATTGCAAAATAACAATGAGGTGGTACCTAGTGCCGCACAGGCTGGCGAAGATGTACACAGGCTCTTCGGAATTATGCTGGAGATGCGGCACTGGCACCGGAACGATGCTCCACATATTCTGGAGCTGCACCAAGCTAAAAACATTCTGGAACCAGGTCAAGACCATGATCTCTCACAGGACACAGTTTCTAATTGCACCACATGCAGAAAAATTCATACTCCATATCATCCCAGAACTATCGCTACACCCCCATAAAAAGGTAATCTTGAACATCCTCACAATAGCTAAAATAACCCTAGCTGGCAGTTGGAAGAGCACACAGATTCCCCCAATAGACAATATACGATCCAGAATGGACCAAATAAGCGCATACGAGAGGATGGCTAGCAAAATAAACAGATGCATAGAGAAATATGAGAAAGACTGGGCCAGTTGGCTCACACCTCAGGCGACCTAGCAGTAACATCTCACAGGACATCCCACAAAACACACTACAAAACTTCCCAACAGCACAGCACACATATGGGACCCCAAAACTGATATCGGACAGCTGATGTGCACAGAAAGGCGAACAAGCTAAAGCCCAATGGGCACGAATATTGGTATTGGTGGACATAGACCAGGGCATCCCCCCTCCCCTTACTCCCTCTTTCCTTTCTGTACCCTTTCCCATTCCCCAGTTAGTTAAATTAATTCATAATGTACTCATCCTACAAAGAGCATAACAATGGCTTGCGGACGCTCTCAGCTATTATTGACCGCAACTGCTTGCACTCTGTACTAAATGTCGAAACAACAATATTTAAGACTATTCTGGAAAACATTGCTCGACGATGTATGTACTATCCTGCTAAAATATTAATAAAAACTATAAATGAGAAAAAAAAATGTTTTGTCCCATTTTTTTTACTTACTGTGCTATTTTCTCTTCTGTGTGTGATTTGGAAGCTCTTATAACGTGCTTACCTCTTTCTGCCTAATCTCATAGATCATTCTGTCTTTCTTACTTCCTTCCTTTTTGTAATTACTAAATGCTAACTTTTTGTTTTTTACTATTTTGGCCACATCTGCGAAGTACCACAGTGGTTTCTTTAATTTTTTGCTTTTACTGACAAGCCTAATGCAATTTTATGTTGCCTTCAGCAGTGCAACTTTTAAATAATCCCATTTCTCCTGTACTCCATTTAAGTTGCTCCAGTCTGATAATGACTTCTTTACACATATTCTAATTTTAGAAAAGTCTGTTTTTTTTAAAGTCTAAAACTTTTGTTTTTGTGTGGTGTGACTCAGTCACTGTTCTTATATTAAGCCACACTGACTGGTGATCACTGGATCCTAAACTTTAACCTACAGTAATATCTGATCCCAAATCTCCATTTGTTTTTTTTTGTTTTTTAAATTGTTTATTTTATATGTGCGCACATGAACACATTAGTATGCAGAGCCACAACAGCAATTACAGGCTTTTCATCACATACCCCGGTATGGCAGTCAATATAGCACATTTTGTGTACATAATACATAATAGCATGAGAGTAACCAAATTATGGCTCTTACAGCTTCATAAGCAGAAATGTATAATGCAAAGTCATTGCCTTTCTTGAAAATAGGACAGGGACATCCCTGTATAGGCTTAATACATGTGACCATTGAAGCTATGTGTCAAACCAAAGTTAGTGCAACATCCCTAGCCTAGGTACCCTATTCCTTGAATTCGCATCCCAGGAGATAAGTGGGATGCTCCATCACCTGATTGAGGCGCACCATAGGCGGTACCATACTAAGTTCGGCACCTTACCCTGCGGGAAAGGGTCAAGGCGACGAACCACAGAAGAGATTGAGAAACAAGAATAGAGTAGAGGAAAGAAAAGAAAAGAAAAGAATAAGTAAGTAAGTTGGGGCAATGAGGCACCAAGGAAAAGGCCGCAGGGGGAGGGGGAGCCAGGGACCGGGACAGGCCACGGAACACACGCCCCCCCCACTCCACCCCTCAAAGCTCCTCCGCACCACCTAAGCCCCCAGTGGGCTCCCATCCCATGGCTCCCAAACCTTACGGAATGTTCCCGAGGATCCCCGCAGTCTAGCCGTTAGGTCGTCCATCAGTCTCACCTTCTTTATCCGTGAGTATACACTTGCCATTTGTGGCGCTTCTGGTTGTAACCAGGTGTATGCTATCGCTCTCCTAGCTGCCAAAGTGGGCTTATGGAGCAGTGTCTGCTCCCAACTCGTCCATCCGTCTACCGACCTATTGAGGAGATATACCCAGGGATCTAAATCTGGGGCTCTAGAGAAAACCTGGATCAGAAGGTCCTTCATGGCCCCCCAAAATCCCTTAATTCTCGGACATTCCCACCACATATGCAGGTAGGTCCCCTTGTTCCCGCACCCTTGCCAACAGTCGTCCGTGGTGATTTTATGCATCTTAAATAATTTGACTGGGTTCACGTACCATCGGAACATCGTTTTAAAGGATTGTTCTTGTAATGTTACACATATCGAGGTTGTTCTGCTAGCCTCCCAAATCTCCTGCCAAACTACCCCCTCAAGTTCCTCCCCCATGTCTCTCTCCCATTGTGTAATATAAGTCATCTCCCCCCACCCCCGCGCCACAGAGCAGAAGTGCGTGTAGAGCCATGCTATGAGTCCCTTCGGTATGCACCCTGTATCGCACATAGATTCAAAGAACGTCAGTGGTCCCTGTGCTATTGTCTTGATATGGGGTTGTCTGGCATAGTCCTTAATCTGCAGAAATCGAAAGAAATCCGCCAGTGTTAGGTGTCTGTCCTGTCGTAGTTCATCGAATGTTATTATGTCTGGGCCCCGGTAGAGGTGGCGATGTCTCTGCAGGCCCGCATACTCTAGATTCCTAAAATTCCTAGCCGCCATCCCTGGAGCAAACTCCCGGTTTCATAATATTGGTGTAAGAGGTGAGGGACAGGACACCAGCCCGTACTTTCTGCTGCAAGAATCCCAGAGCCGCAGAGAGTTCACCACCGCCGGACAGGTGACCCCTATCGGTGGTCTATGTTCCTTAGGTACCCACATCACAAACTGGGGCATATCCATCCCCATCATAAATTACTCTATGTCCACCCATCTCAGCTCGTCTGGGGGTGAATGTCAGAGCTCTACCTGAGCTAATTGTGCCGCTATATAGTAGTGGTACAGGTCCGGGAGGCCGAGCCCCCACCTCGTCCTTGGCCTATACAGAATGTATCTGGATATGCGGTGTCTCTTATGCTGCCACACAAAGTTCCCTATTGCCCGTTGGAGCGGGGTGAGCTGTGCCCTAGTCAAGGGGATCGGAAGAGCCTGGAAGAGGAACAAGGCCCTCGGCAGGACGTTCATTTTGACAGAATGGATCCGCCCTATCCAAGATATTGGCTTATCGATCCATCTGTCCATATCTCTCATCAATGCATGCCATAACGGAGTATAGTTGCATGCATATAAGTCGTCTGGGTCTGCGGTCAATTGAATTCCCAGATATTTGATAGAAAGCGTCTCAATCTTAATATGATGCTCTCTATGTATTTGGGCTATATCTTCCTTTGGCATTCTAATGGGGAGTGCGCTCGATTTTGTCATATTCGCTTTAAATCCGGAAATTTCCCCGTATGTTGCCAATACCTCACGCAACGCCATCATAGATACACCAGACCTCGTGAGCGTCAGAAGTACGTCATCGGTGTAAGCAGCTACTAAAAATTCCTTACCTCCCACCCGTACCCAGTGGATCCCCGGATGTTTCCGGAGCGCTTGCAGAAAGGGCTCTAATGATAGGGCAAAAAGTAGAGGGGCGAGTGGACATCCCTGCCGAGTTCCATTATAGAGCGGGAAGGCGGCGCCCCCAAGACCCGAACCTGTGCTCTAGGATTACTGTACGTAGCCTCCACCACTGTAATGTATTCCTCAGGGAACCCCAAATGCTGTAGCACGTAAACATATAACGCCACTTAACTCTATCAAAAGCTTTTTCAGCATCTATAGAGACTGCCAGCGTGGGCGTGTTCGTGACTGTTTGTTTCCATATGAGGTCTATGTTCCTATGGGTATTTTCAAACAATTGTCGTCCTGGGATGAAGCCTACCTGGCCGGGATTTATAAGACATGTCAAATGTGGGGAAAGTCTATCGGCCATTATCTTAGCTAGTATCTTCATGTCCTGATTTATGAGGGAAATGGGCCTATAACTACCAGGCAGCAGCGGGTCCTTATCGGGTTTGGGAAGTAATACAATGGAGGCCAATGTCATGTCCGGGCTCGGTGTGCCCCCCTCCCTAAAGTGGTTAAATAGTTTAAGCATGTGGGGTACAAGCTCTTCTGTAAAGGTCTTATAATAGGCGCCATCGAACCCATCCGGTCCCGGGGCCTTGCTCCCTTGTAGCCCCCGATCGCCCTAACTACCTCCTCTTCCGTGATCTCTGCCGCCAGCTGTGTCCTAGCCTCTCTTGGGAGTTTTGGTAAGCCTAAATCGAGTAAAAATCTGTAAGTGCTGTCCATCTCCTGGGCGCCTCTTTGGGCGTCTGCAGGTGTGTGATTATACAACGTCCAGTAGAAGTCTCGGAAAACCTCTGCCACCTCCCCGGGTGTAGTTTTCAGGGAGCCGTCGGCATGTCGTATCGAAGTGATATGTGTACGTCTCTGTCGGGGCCGTAGAGTCCTGGCTAACATAGTGTCCATTTTATTACTTTTTTCATAGAAGGATTGTTTAGTCCACGTCAGTGACTGTGCTACATTGTCCAACAGAGTCCAATACTCTACTTTCCTCAGTGTGTCCCCTGTAGGGTGGGTCTGGTGCCTCTACTCTGCACTCTTAAGGTCTGTCAGGAGTCTCTCTTTGTGTTTTAAATTTTTTCTTTTTCGTCGCTAGACGTATAAGGGCTCCCCTCACTACTGCCTTGTGTGCTGCCCAGATCGTGGGTATACTAACGTCAGGTGTGTCATTAGCTTTAAAGTAGTCCAAAATCTCTGTATGTATCTGTTCTTTAATCGTGGGGTCCCTTAATAAGGAAGTGTTAAGCCTCCAGGTCCAGGGGGATGCCACACAGAGATTCCCGAGGGTAATCGTAACCTCTGCATGGTGGGACCAGGTAATGGTCCCTACTGTCGAGTCAATGGTTCGTGCAAGGCCTCTGTCATTAACTAAAAAGAAATCTATTCGGGAATAGGTGCCGTGTGGGGCTGAGTAATATGTATAATCAACCTCACTCGGGTGATGGGCCCTCCAAACATCCACTAGGCCTGAGCGTGCAATAAAGTCGTGAAGAAATTTATCCTGCCCCCCCCCCTGCGACCGGGGCAAGCCCTTGTTGGTGCTTCTGTCCACTGCCGCGCTCGGTGCTGCATTAAAATCCCCTCCCACAAGAATCATGCCACTCGGTAGCTTGCTAAGCTTGTCCAGTAAGGTGGCCCAAAAGGTCGGGTCCGGACAATTAGGGGCATAAACATTCACCAGGTGGAGTGTATGGGAGTAAAGCGCTCCTGAGACAATAATGTAGCGTCCCTCTTCGTCCGCATCCGACCCCGTAATCTGCTATGGGCAGTT